GTGACAGCGGCGGGCAGGCATCTCTGTCGGTGACGATTCTACCGCTTGTCCTACTTTTGGTCTGATCTACTTTCTTTCGTTTTCAGCACAGGTGTGTGTTGTGTGTGTTCGCAAGTGTATGTGTGTGTTCGCAGATGCGTGCGCGTGCGTGCGTGCGTGTGCGTGCGTTGGGTGGGGTACTACTTGGTAGTAATATTAATATTCTTTACTTACCCTCGTCTGTCTAGTCTCTTAGGCTAACGATCAGGATCAGTATGAGGATGCATTCCTGGATGCAGCAAACCCTCAGCAGAAGCTATCTACTAGCAGCAGCACTAACGTCACATGCCCCTCAACTTCAGTCTTATAGTATCGATCAATTAATCAATAACCAATCAATCAATCAATAATCAACCGATTGATAAATAATCAACTAATAAATCGATTGATCAATAATCAGCCAATAAATCGATTGATTGATAATCAGCCAATAAATTCCATCGATTGAGAATCAGCCAGTAAATCATGATCACTCATGCAATACGCTTTGTTTAAACCTGTGCTTGGTGCTCAGGGGTTATGCTAATGCTTACTACTCGCGCGCGCTCTCTCGCTCTCTCTCTCTCTCTCACTAATCTAACTTGACGTTGGCGTTTGTTTCAGACTCGCAGAGAAGAAACAGGAGTATACAGGGCCGTTCAGTTTCCTGAAGTATGACATAACGTTGTCTGTATGTGTCCGTGTGTGCGCGTGCGTGCGTGCGTGTGTGTGTGCGGTGTGACACCTCTCTAACTACTAACACCTGCTGACTAATACCTGTCTATAGGTATCCAGACTCCATGCGTGCGTGCGTACGTGCATGTGGGCGTGCGTGCATGTGTGTGATTCTAGCTAGGTAGCCAGTTCTCATCCTACTAACTCTCTCTCTCTCTTTCTCTTTCTCTCTGCTGTTTCAGACAACTAACACACAGGGCGAGTGTCCCCCTGCCGGTGGGGCGCCCCCTGATACTGCTACTACTACTAATAATAATATTAATACTAATAATAATAATGATAACCTGTAACATCTACACTAACATTGGTGCGTTTGTTCTCTTTCTAGCTGGTCAGGTGGTGTCGGAACTAACATTATAGTGTATTCTTACTGACCGTGTGTGTGTGTGTGCGTGCGTGCATGCGTGCGTGTATACGTGTGCCTGGGTAAAGTAGACCCAGCTATTACCTAGTAGTTTCATGTATGTAGCGGGTGAGAGAAAGTAGAGACAGTCCGACGTCGCATTTAGAGAGACCGAGAGGCAGGAGGAAAAGAGCATGCCACCACGAGAGAGAGAGACCGAGTGCAGTTTCTCGTTGCTCGCGGTGGAGCCTAGAGGTTCAGGAAAATCATGGCAGTTACAGCATTATTGTCAAAGTAAAGAGGAAATGCATGGGGCATGCATGCCATGATTAAGCATGCGGAGAACTGAGAAGAGGAGATGGCAGCGCAGTGAAATCCCCACATGGCCTCTATCGCAAGGTCGGAGCCGAGAGAGTGATGCTGGAGGAGCAGGAGTCCACATGCTCAGCGAAGTAGCGAGAGTCGAGCAAGTCGATAGATCATCGGTACGAGCTGAAGGAAACTTCCTCAACTCCAATATCTCCCAGTCCGTGTCCAGTCTCGATTCTCCGAGCTTCGCCACGCGTCTCCTCCTAAGAAGCCCCTTAAGAGTCTAGTCTCAATACAGCACGGCTACGACACTATCCTCTCCATACTCCACATCCTCTCTTTATCGTCGTCTCTCTCACCTCTCATCCATCATCATCTCCTCTATATATCACATCTACTAATACTTCTCTCATCCTACCTCTCTCTTCTCTCC